TCTGACTGAATGGTGAGGAATAGAAGGCTTCTTCCATACTCCACCATTCATTCAGAACTGTAGAAGCTTCTTGGATGAGAAGTGAAACGTCTTCTGGGGAAAAACCAGCCCTAGGTGCCTTTTGAAAAGCATGTTTAAGACAGCAGTAAAGTGTTTTGAAAAACCCTTCAGACACATTTTGTTCACATTTGATCTCAATACTTGCACCTGCAAATTTACCATACAAACCATAATCTCCATCTGTATTTCTATCTTTTGATAGAAATATTGAATATGGATGTTTTGGATATCCCCTTAAAATAATTGAACATTTTTGGGTAGCTATTCTCAAAGTGGGAGGGGGGAAAATACATACTTATAGAAAATGAAGATACTAATATTGCAGCTTAAGTCTCCAACATTTTTATATGAAAAAGGCCTTTTTGTGTTCTTTTTGTGGATATCTGTTGTATAGCACCTTAAGGTTTCTATGACAAAAACTGAATGACAATCAATTTATTATAACAAAATATATCTCTCTCCCTCCCTCCATCTCTCTCTCTCTCTCTCTCCCTCTCTCTTTATGAATTCACAAATTGTATGGTATATATTTTGTACATAGATATTTCGGACCAAATCTTAGAATTAGACTTTCTCCTACACACGATTGAGTCTTCCACATATTTTTTTTTCACAAATTTTGTGTGAAAGTCCATTCTTGATGCATGCTACTGGGAAATTGGCTTTTAAGGTTTCAAAACCTAATAATGGAACAGAAAAACATGTGATACTGTTTTAAATTCCAGACTAGAGTGACCCCCAGTGGTGTGAAGGAATTATTTAAATTGTTGGCCTGGAGGGAAATGATTCACTTGTGTGGGTTTGAAGTAACAATTGTATAGTCCCACTCCAGCATGAATATTTGCTATAAATAATCATATAGCTGTAGAGTTCGTATATTTGTATAATTATAGAAAAGGAGCATCCTTTTAATGACATTTTTTTTCTGGTATGGAGTTAGGGCTATGGTAGAGAGTTTGGGCTTTTGTTGCATTCATAATTTTATGCCTGTGTCATACCTTCCAACTCTCGGCTTTGTATTTTAAAGCCAAATTAGAAGGCAATTTTCTGGATAATGTTGATTACACTTTGGTCAAGTCTACATATGACGCCATTTTCTGTTCCTTCTGAGATTTCTGCCGCTCCCATCTCAATTACTTTTTTCCATGATTATTCATCAGACACTCCTATAATCCTACTTTAAAACATATATACTGTACAAACACTTACACACACACACACACACACACACACACACACATTCATATCTTTGGTGGCTTCCAGTTAATAGCTACATTTGTCCATAGAATTTATAGTTTTATTATAAGTATTGTTCAAACTTTTATGGGGTTGAAGAATAGTTAAAAACATTAGAGAGACTAAATGCCTTGTGTGGCTCAAATTCGATTTCCTTTTGTTTGACACATCAATCACACAAAAGTGCCTTAAATCCAGCCACTTTATTCACTGGAGCATAAACTGAAGCACAAGCTGTCAAACTTTTGTGTGTGTGTGTGTATTAGTAACAATGTAATAATGTGAGTTGGGGCACAATCCAGCTAATATTAAACGTTAGTCACACTTTGAACAGGAGATATTTCATTGGAATAAATGAAACTTCAAAGTGCTCAACTGTGACCAAATAGTGTTCTCTGTGTATGTTTGAAAAAAGAAAAAGAACAGGGGAACCCAGCTGGAAGCCCTGTGCTGCCAATGGCCCTCAAAAGTTTTGCTGCTGCTCTAAGGACCTCTTCAAAAGTTGCCTCAAATTGTAATACAAGGGAGAATTATAAAATGTAAATGGTTACATTGATGGTATTTAACTTGTTCAAGTTTATTTAAATATCAATTAAAACTATAGTTGCTTTTATCCTGGTCCCATCAACTTGCTTGGAATGCAAACCTCATGCCAACCCAGGAAAAGTTGTGCATGCTTGATTTACATGCATGCTCCATGTACAAGGATATATACAGACGTCATTCTGGTTCTGTCATATTTCTGCTATACTGACCAACAGATTTGGGAGCCCCAATGGATTTGGGAGTCTAGTTCCCAGCTTTAACACAGACCTCCAAAGCAATGATTGAGCCTTATTCTTATATTTGTCTGTTTCTCTGCAAATTTCCGTCGTCTCTTTGAATGCAAGTCTTAATAAATTACTCTCTGGTTAATCAACTAGTCCTTTGCCTGCAGAGGGGTAATCCTAGTCTAATTTGTAGACAAATTATGATTTGATAAAATTAGGAAGTAATTAATTAAGCTATGTGCACAAGCTATATAAACAAGTTGTTTTTTTTTTAAAAAAAACACATTTTAAGTCAGTAGCAGCAGCAGTAATCTAATTTTCTGTAGCCCAGATGGCTTTTCATCCTTTCCCTTTCTCTCAGCCCTTCTGTAGCAGCTGAGAAGAGGGAAATGTCAGAATTTACTGTATTTCAGTCTTATAATTTGGGCAGAAGAGAAATCCTGAGAAGAGAAATAAGTAAGTTAAATGAAAATGAGTTGGAATCTTCAAAGGATATAGATACATAATATACAATACCACTCAGGTCGGTGGGCTTTGCTTGGACATCATGTTAACCCAGTAAATCTACAGATAAGCAACATGGCACCCATGGACACTCAATTGTACTCCAGATAGCTCAGACTTTCTATCCTACCTGGTTTTTTTAAAATAAAAAATACTAGTAACAAACAGCAGATTATATAAGCTTCCATGCTGCAAAACATAGCACTGGCTTCTAACTTCATATTTAATTGTGTGTAAGAATATGTTTGAGCCCAACAAAAATTCCACCAGAAGATTTAGAAAACATCAGTGGAAGTGCTTACTCTCCAGTAAATGGACATTTTGTGACTGAACATATTGACAATGGCAGCGATTTAGAGAATATTGTAGGCCTCAAGGGGCAGCCATTTTGTGAGTTCTAAATATTGCCCACTGCCCCAACTCAAAAGGTTACCTTCTTCTTGCGTGAGTGAGAGTTAGTTTCTATTTAAATAGAGAAGCTTGATTTTTTATAACCATATGTTCGAATAAAATGGGCCCCTTTTATCTTGCTCCGAAATATATTTTTTATAAGTATCCTTGGAGAATCACTGGATCGCAAGTCCCAAATCCTGAAAGTCAGGTAACATAAACAACCGTCCTTGACATGCCTTTTGAGATGTATAGGAATTATAGCTTCAGTCAACATAAGGGCAGGATCTATCTGATTACTAAAACATTTTTTAAATTACATCTCTCAATGTATCAGTTATAGTATAGATGTTTTAAGTTCTTCCCCTGGTCAATTGGTAAAAAAATAATAATTAAAAAATGAGATTATATGAAGCCCAGGAAGTTAGAAATTATAGTATTAACAAGATCAGAATGAGTGCAGGTTGCATGACTTTTCCAAAATAATCCTATATCTGCTTTGCATCCTAAAACAAGGCCTGCTGCTATGCTGTATTTTAACATGGGGTGAGGCATAGACTAGCTCATCTTTGGATCAGTTATAGGCATGTTTGGTCTATATTGTGCAATTAATGCTCCTTTTTTAGTCCTTTGCCCAATGATAATTGACTGCTAATTCTAAATTACTTCATTTCAGCTCAGCTGCTTTATCTGGATTTGAGCTAATGTATTTTGGCACTCCTTAGCTGGATCAGACCTTGTTACTAAATTCCTTCCTAAATTCCGTTGAGTGTGTACCAAAAATTAAATTAAGTAATGATTTTTCATTACATCATTGATTTTGCTATGGCACATGTAACTATTTTAGAGCCCCATAAAACAGATTGGAAATACAGTGCTATATATTTCTTTAGTTTTCTTTAGTTTTAAGTAAAGTGTAGCATATATATTCCAACCTGGCATTTATATAGAGCAACCTACCATGTTTTGAGAAAATAAGACAGAGAACGTATTTTAGGGAGATATGGACACTATAATTTTTTTCTGCTGAGTTGGATCATTGATTTATATCCTGTTATTGACTATCCTGTTTGGAGCTTCTCTGCATTTGTATAATCTATATCCACTATGAGCCATGCCATTCTCCAGCATGGGCTGCAGTAAAGCCTTTTCACTTGCTGAAAGTAGAATAGGTCCAGCTGCTTATCAATGATTTTTACTTTAAAAAAAAACAAGGATGTGGCTAGGTTTTTTTCTTGATATTTTAAATTACAACTTATATGGTACTTTGTATTTGGCCATGCTGGCTAGAGCTAATGGAAACTGAATTCTAAAATGTGTGGAGGTCACCAAGTTGCCTATTTCTAGTCTCATGGGGCATAATAGAGTTAGGAAAACTCTTTGATATAGTGGGAAAAGGCTCCACATGTTCTAGTTCAGGGGTCTCCAACCTTGGCAACTTTAAGACTTGTGGACTTCAACTCCCAGAATTCCTCAGCCAGAATTCTGGGAGTTGAAATCCACAAGTCTTAAAGTTGTCAAGGTTGGAGACCCTGTTCTAGTTGGTGATGAAGAGTACAAAAGTTGTTCTTAGCAATTCATTTAGTTGCTCTTCCTACTAACTTTCTACCACTTGTACTCCAATTGAATATGCACAGGGTAATTTTATAAGAGGTATTGCATACACTTCTCAATGTAGATTAAGTGATCATTTGAACCTTCATTTGGAACATCATAGTTGGACTACTGCATCTTTGGATTGGCAAGTCCTGTCTTTTCCTCCTGTATATGAGCAGAGAATGAGGACTCATTTGTTTCTCATTAGATAACAATTTGGGCGACTATGGCTCTTTCTAACTAGTTAATAAAAAGGGGGGGGGTATTAAATGTTTCAACCATTGGAGAAGGCTGCCTTAAATTTTAAGGGAATAGCAATAGTAATATTCAGTAGTAATTTAAAGAGACACAGCAGAAAAAAATAAATACCAAGACTGTCCTTTATTTTCCTTTGCAAACTGTCTTGCACATTGAACTGTTGCTTATCTTGTCTTACAACATCAGGGGAAGCAACTTCAGAAGATAGCAGATCAGATTCTGTACATTGGAGTCCCACTCAAAGAAGAGGAACTTCAATCATCTGTGAGTTGTTACCTCTAACATCTCACTATTCAGTTGAGTCAAATTTTGAGCTGAATCAGATTATTTATCAAGTAACTTTCAGATCTGTTAGGTTATAAATTGCAAGTCATCATAATCCATAGAAAAGCTAATTTATTTCAGGTATGCTTCTGAAATTCAGCTGCAACCAGTTCTTTTGGCTGGAGAGTCCATGGATCAAATTCATGCAAAATTTGCATTTTGTTTCTAATCTGCAGCCATTGTGTATCTGAATAAAATTAACCAAAATACAAGATAATAGAAATTCTAGAGGATTTTTTTTTTAACCAGAAGTCTTGCTATAGTGCTCTGGGATACTTGGGCTGCCTCAGTAAAAACTGATTGACATCAAAGGGTGTTACACGCCACACATTTAGCCTAAAACAGGATCTCAGAGGCAGATATCCGTAATTGGGAAAACCATTTAGGTGTGTTACCTTTCACATTGTGCTAGCTCACAGTTTTCCTAAGAGCATTAAGAGTTCTGTAGAACACTAGTAACTCAGGATTAGCTAAATGTTGGACATTTTGAAATCCAAAGCATCATGTCCAGAAAAATTTCCTGATCCCTCTTCTTCCTATATATTTCATTAGGACACAGGGCAGCTCTCTGAGATCATCACCTGCAGGTTGAATCCTTTGGGTATATTCCCATAGATGTCCCTCTTCAACTGGGCTGGATGATGCAAGTCCTTCCTATCATTTCGTCCCCCCCTCCCCAAAAGCTGGGGTTGAAGCTGTTGTGAGACACTTATTCAGATAAATGTGACACAGCAGGAAGCAGCAGCAAAGCACCAGTGTGGCTTTGCTTTGATGCTGGAAACACAGCTGGTAGCCAAAATGTGCATATGTGTATGAGAGAGAAAGAGAGATATCTGCACATCATGGCTTCTGCAGCAACTGTGATTAATGCCACAGATAAGGAGAAAAAGTGCTGCATTTCCATTAAAAGAAACAAAAAATGCAGAATATGAAATCCCAGTATTTTGATGCACAAAAGGGATTTTCTCAACAACAACAATTGGTTGGCTCTTATGTCCGATTGCCTAAAGCAAATAGAAGAATGTAGAAAAATGCTGATTATTATACTTTTGTAAGGAGGTACGTTGGTAGAATTAGCTGTTACCTCACCTCAATAATTAATTTTCAATATATCTAGCGCAGGTAGGGTGCTGACGCTTCACATTCATGCTGTTTTAATTTGCTTTATTATCCTGCAATTTCATTAAGGGAAGAGATATAATGTGATTTATTTTGTAACAATCAATCAATATTTAGACTTCTGAGAATTAATGGTCATGAAAGGATTGTGTGCTGGATCTTGGACACCAGTGTAGGTGACAATGTTATGATTCAGCCTTGTCAGCTCTTCCATAATTGCAGGCCGCTTTCATTGGCACACATCCTCAAAAAGGGCTCACTCCAGCAAGATCTATTATCAAGAGCTCTCCAAGAAATTGTGGGGAGTGTCTCAGTGGAAATTCACTGAGCCCCTAGCTTTTGAAAATTTGCTATTGTAGTGTAGCAATAAGTGTGCTGGATAAGACCAACACACTGGGAGACCCTGGATTAAATCCATCCTTAGGAAGGGAACCTTGACTTTGGGCTTCTCTCTGTCTCTCAGCCTACTATACTCATAGGGTTATTATTGTAAGGATAAAAGATCTCCATGTAAATCATCTTAAACTCCAGGAAGAAAGGTGGGACATAATAGATCTAATTTAATATCTCAGACATTTCCCCTCCCAACTACCAGTTTATTAGTCCCTAAATAATTCAAAATTATATATCCATCTCTGAATCCTTTATGACTTCATATATTTCACCAGCTTTTTCCAACTTGGTTGTATCTGAATGCATTGATCTCCAATCAGTATGCCCATTGGGAATGACTTGGAGTCCAACACATTTAAAGGCACTAGGTTAATGAAGTTTCCCCATACATTTAACCCTATTCATACAGTCATACATATTTAAAACAAAGGGATTCACAATACTTAAATCAGAAAAGAGTACAGAGATGTGGTGGAATACATATAGAGATATAAGAGAATTGATTTGAAGTTGTCCATTCTGCATTTTTTTTCTGATCTTCGGTTTTGTGCCTGGAATATTAATATTTGTTAATCTCTTCCATTTTCTCTCTCTCTCTCTCTCTCTTTTTATTCCCTTCAGCACCCAAAGACAATGAAGAAAGAGTATTTAGGGAACGGATGCGCCCCAGGAAGCGCCAGGGGGCAGTGCGACGCAGGGTCCATCAGGTTAATGGGCACAAGTTTATGGCCACCTATCTTAGACAACCAACCTATTGTTCACACTGTCGAGACTTTATATGGTAAATTTTATTACATGGAGACTTTTCTCATATCATATGGCTTAGGTTTTTTCACGGTAACACTATTATTGTTGTTTTGGCTATTGAAAACCCTTTACATTAATCCTTTCTGGAAAATAGTAATGAATGAAATAATGATGTCATTATTTTATACGTTGGGAAAATGCAAAGGCTTTCCGTAACTGTGGTTATGTACTTTTTTACCTAATCATACATTATGCAAGCATATATAGTGGATATCAAATTCTTTGTATTCTAGTAAAAAAAAGTTTAAGATTGTAATCAGGCGAACACATTGCTGCAGTAAGACTCACTGAATATAGTGGGACTTGCTGGTACAGGTTTGCATTATAAGGCAATTTAGTATAGATTTTCCTTGATTTGGATTTTCTCATTTCCAAATAGTGAAAAAGGATTGAATATATGGAGAATATTCAGCCACAGTAAACTTCATAGCCACTACTATGGCATCCCCACATGGCACGGTTACACAAACTCAGTGAACTCCTTCAGATTATCTCATTATCTCCTCCCATCTGATTCTATTGCTAAGCAACTGTCCCTCAGTGTAAAGTAGAAACGCTTTGTCTGAACTTGATCCATATATCTTTACATAGAAGCGAACATCAGTGGGATCTAATTTGTTGTTAGAACTGTAATTGAAGCACAGCAGAAGGTCATGTTTAGATTAATGTGAGTTTAATTTGGACGATAGGGCCTCTTTGTGTTACATCTGTACTTCTAATAAGTATGTGATGAAGAGAGTTCAGTGATAGCTTTTCTGGTTTCTACAGTGATGAAACAAAGAAGGTAGCCCTTGCCAAACATTCACAGCTAATGAAGATGTTAGGGGTAAGATTGGAAAAGCCCTGTCAATACTAGGAAACATATGAGTTAGCAGAGAAAATGAAAAGAAAATTGCTTGGTGGTGTTTCATACAATGTAAGATGGGAAGAAGACAAAGTGAGTTTTATCACATTATTTATTTGCATCTGTGGAATTAGAAGGAGAATGTTCGTGCAGAAATAGGAATGTATCCAGCATGGTCTTCCATACTGTATAGTCATTTTTAGCCATTCACTATATGATAAATGACAGTGTGAAATTGCATCATTGGTCTATCCCTAATATGTGCTTTATTATTCTTTTTTTTAAACAACAACAGGGGAGTAATAGGAAAGCAAGGGTACCAATGTCAAGGTAAGAAAAATTGTACATTTTATGAATATGTATGGAATCTATAAGGAACCCTGATTATTAGGTGTCAGGTAGACCAGACAGGAAACCTGACCAGAGGAGCTAATTGTACTTTATTGTTTAAGGCTACCTTAACAGACTCTTACAAATCTCCTGCTCTCTCTTTTACAACCAAAAGTTAGGGAAGTTCCTTTCTCAATTTCTTTCTTTGCCCATTAAACAATTGTGGGGTATGCTCTCTCTTATCTGATCATTCCCTAGCCAGCATCTCCTCCCTGAGTCTCCCAACATTAAGGGGGCTAAAAGATATAAAGACTGGTTGCAGGAATTGGGTTTGTCTAGTCTAGTGAAAAAGAAGAACTAGAGGTGACATGATAGCTGTGTTCCAATATTTGAGGGGCTGCCACAAAGAAGAGGAGGTCAACCTATTTTCCAGAGGACCAGAAGGAAAAACAAGAAAGAATAGATGGAAATTAAACAATTGAGAGAAGCAAACTAAAACTAAGGAGACATTTCCTAACAATGAGAACAATGGAATAGCTTCAGAAGTTGTGGATGCTCCATCATTGGAAGTTTTTGAGACGGTACAGCCACTTCTCTGGAATAGTATAGGGCCTCATGTTTGTGCAGGGGGGTGGACTAGAAGACCTCCATGGTCCCCTCCAACTCTTTTATTTTGTTAAGATCAATTCCACATCCCATCACATTAGAGGCTTGGAGGAAATGACTTCCTTGCAGGTTTTTTTTTAAAAATAAATTCCCACTAATTTTGGAAGTCCTTACATGAATAATAAAAAAGTGTAAAAAGCCAACTTGATCTTTCAGTCCTTTTCAGCAAGGGGAAAAGTTGTTCTGAATATGCAGCACCTGAGATGTCCCTTGACAGACAGTGGTGGGATTCAGCCACTTCGCATCACTTCGGGAGAACTGGTTGTTATCTTTCTGAGCAGTTTGGTGAACTGGTTGTTGGAAGAAACCATTAGGGCAGGGAACTGGTTGTTAAATTATTTGAATCCCACCACTGTCCACAGAAATAATGAAAGATATTCTGGTGTTTCCCCCTGGACTTTGGATAAAGGATAAACCTTGCTGAATCCATCCCTCTTAATCCAGCAGGATTGTTTGTCTGTTTCCTTCATGGTTTTTGTAATGCAGACCTCATCTGGACAGCATACAATAGCATACAATAAGAATAGAAAATAAACACAAAAAGACATACAATTAATACAAATCCCCAGATGGCCCCCATAAACACTGAGTCCTGGTTAAAGTATAGTGCAGTAGTGTTGATTTAACAGCTGCCCACAATGGCTCATCAGATGTCTTTCAGAAGCTTACAGCCTGGAGTTGAATACAGTTGGCTATTACACTTCCCCCACCCCTTCCCAATTTACTATGTGAGTAGAAAACATATAGAAGGTGTAGAAGGTGTTAGTGTGGACAGGATAAACTGATAACACAAAAATAGTTGTCATTGGGTTCTTAATTTAAAAGTTATAAGTAAATCAATAGGAAATTCTAGTTACTTATTTATTAAGATATCCAGGCCTGAGGGGTCTTTGGTGCTCCCTGAGCTTGGTTGTTTTCTTATGGACGTTTCAATTACCCAAACTAGGTAACATCATCAGTGCATACCTAGAGCTGTTAGCTGCTTTTGGACACATTATTTGATATTAATATACCTTTTAGAATTAAGATTAGTTATCTATTTTAGGTTTTAAGATTTTGAAATATTTACTTGCATAGACAAAAAGCTTGTTCATTTCCATAAGACTCGGATTTTTATCATGAATATTGATTGTTAATTCATAATATTTCCAAAATACTATAATTTGAGCCTGGACATTTGTGTCTTGGATGAGAGCCCTTGGTTAATTTGTTCAACAATCCATTTCTTTTGTCTTCATGACTGGCTATGATATCAGACATCTTCTCCAACACCAGATTTCAAAATTGTCAATATTTTTTTCTGTCCATTTTCTTCAAAGTCCAACTTTCACTTTCATAGAGTGCCACTGGCAAGATTTCTTGAAAGCAAACATAGCCGTCAAACAACCAAAATGATGCCTCTAGATAGACATTATCAGATACATAGAAATCAAAATGATTGTATCATTGTCAACAATGATTGATGCTTCAGTTATAGCATCAAAGACATGACTAGGCGCTCACTGTGGAACAAGCACCAAATGAGCTGAAGAAGAAGAAGAAAACTAATTAGTTGCTCAATATGATTTTCAGTATATAAATACTGTTTTCAAGAAGAATATCGGAAATCACTTTGAAGTACTAAAACTTATTGATAGAGAACCAGAGGTACTCTGGAATGAACTTAAGGAAATCATTAAGGAGGAATATAATAACGAGACTGCCAAAGATGGACAAACAGAAGAAAAAAAAACATCAGCACAAATCATGGAAATTTTCAAGAAGACAAGAGAAGCCAAAGCCAAGAAAGATAAAAATCTCAGGAAGGACTGTAACAAGTTTCAGAGTGCTGTTAGAAAAGACAAAGAAGCAGTAGTACAACAACATGACATTGAAGATGGGAATAGACATAAGGATAGTCTTCCAAAAGATCTTTAAATTCAGAAAAAGGTTCCCACTTCAAATTGGTATGCTAAAGGATGACAATATATTAGCCAATTCAAAGTAGTAGCCAATTCAAAGACAATGAACGAAAGATACAGTATACTAAAAATATTATACAGAAAAGAGTTTAGAAACCTTAAAAGATTAAGACTCAGAAGCTAACCATAGTAAGCTCCAGTTGTAGACGTAGTGATAATCCATGATAATCCTCGCTTAACAACGGGTTGCTTAGTGACCATTCAAAGTTCTGACAACTTTCCCAAACAATACTTATGACCCAATTCTGAAGTTCAAACCCCATTCATATGACTATATTTTGGGCACCTGGCAACCAGCTCTTTTTTACAGCTGGTTGCGACACTTTGCAGTCATATGACCATGATTCATAATGTATTTTGTCAGTTTCTGGTCTTTGGGCCGGTTTCTGGGACCTCATTAATTCTCTTAATGACCAATTTGTTCACTTTACAACTGTGGTGTTTGTTTAACAACTGCTTCAAAACAAGTGGTAAAATCAGGTAATTCATTTATAGAAGCTTCTATAACTTACCCAGTTTTTTTCTTCAAATAAACTAATCAGTCTTTATTTTTACAGATTAACTAAAATTTTGACTCCTACCTAGCTTCACCTCACTTATTGATTATCACTGCAATTAGTCAAAATCCATTATTAGAAGTTGATTTGTTTCAGATAGGTGTAATTAAGGTTAACTACAATTTGTTTGGTTTTGGATGACACAGCAAATTATGAGTAACCTTAAACAGAAATAAACACTTCAGATGTTTTGTTCTCATGCCAAGAGAGGCAGTGAAATAGAAGGATGCAAGTCCAAGTATCACTGCATTAAAGTTGAACATGTCCAAAGCAATTCAATTTTTTAAAAATAAATATGAATTTATTTTATATTTTCTTTTTATTATTTGTATACCATCTACTCAGTCTATTCCAAGTAGCTTACAATTCTAAAGCAATAAAACACCCTCAAAACCAGTTGACGATAACACTATAACAGCTCATTTTGAACAAGAGGCAGTTATGTTCTAGAAATATTTCCTTATATGGTAGTTTGGAAAAGTCTGTTGCCTTTTCCAGATTGTTCAATATGATTTCATTGATTTAGAAGTTTATGGAGCCTCAAAACTTCATTTCCCTTCTGTGAAAGTGCAAACAGATATTTTGACACTATTTAAAATGTGATAGAATCATAAGAATATGAACTACCTTTACTCTTATTAATTTAAGAGTTTTCTTTGCCCACTTGGAAGCCACAATTCCAATAGGATTCCTCGCCTATCCTTTTGTCCTGCCCCATTTTTCACACAGACCAGAATCTAATGTAGGCTTTTTAGAAGACCCTTGGTAGGGATGAATCCCCCAGAATTTCTTATTTCATTTCATTTTTCTTTTTCATAATGGATAAAATAATCTCTTGTTTACAGTTTGCACTTGCGTAGTCCACAAGCGATGCCATGAGCTTATAATAACAAAGTGCGCTGGCTTGAAGAAGCAGGAAGCCCATGATGAGGTAAATATTTACAGAAGGAATGCCTAAATAAAAGGAAACTGTGCAGAGTTAATGTGTTTAAGGCAAGGTTCTTCTAAATCACTAGTCTTTCCGTCTCTTGATTTAAAATACACAACTGATCTGGGTTGTTTTGACTCTCTTCAGATCTAGACATCAAGACACTGTGAGCACAGACATGATGGGTCTAGAACTCTTAGAAATCTGAAATTACTTAGCTATGGCCTTTTCTGGCCAATGGCTGACCACTATGGATTGCTAGCCAGTTGGTGTTTTCTTGCAGGCCACTTGCCTTGTCCCTAAAGTCCATGTCTAAACACTCATTCTTCTGCCCTCTTCACAAAAATAAAAGATAATAAATTGCTAGTACTATCCCATGTGGCAAATGTCCATTGCCTTGTTTCCCTAGTTCCTAATGCTGCATGCCATCCTACTGGTTTTCATAATTATGTCAGCATCCTGCTATAAAGGATTCCATATGATGGTAGATTTGGTGAACCATATGACTCCTCCAGGAATCATACAGTCTGTCCCTTCAAGCACAGGACAGTCATATATTGCAGTCGTATATTGGAGCCACTGCCTTAACACAATGGCTTCTTGTCCATATCTATAATACTACTTGCCCAGAGATAGATCAAAATCACTTCCGTGTCAATGGGATTAGCAATGGGAGTTCACCTTACCCACCAAAGGGACTGCATTTTCATTTGGAAAGCCTCTTTCTCTCAAATTGCTACCATCTCTCCCATTTATAAAAAAGAGATAAAGTGTTACAGGATTGGTGGAGTTTGTTCGATTTCTGATTTGTTTGCATCCTTCTAATTATATCTACATGTGGAGAATGAAACATTTCAATGGAAGCAATAACTATTGCTTTAAAAAATGAAATATAACATAGGTTCTGAACCATCTTTCCAGGCTATAAAGGTGACTGCAATTTGCTTTGTGAAGGTTATAATGTAAGTGTCAGCATTCCAATGAAACTCCCCATTCCATTCAGCACTCAGAAACAAAGCTCATCCAAGCAAGAAATTTATTAAAGAAGTCATATTGGCACATCTGGGAAAATCCAAATCTGAGAGTTCTGGGTTTTCCCATCCCAATTGAAAATCAAAAGCCTATCCCCTGCACTCGTCAGTTCATCACATGGTCCAATCAGCCATCATCCCAACTGGAGACATCCCTCCAGACACTCCTCTCCAGGTGCAGGGTCACTTGTCCTTGACTTATGAGGAGACTGTTGTTGAGTCTAATATGCCACCTCTCTATGAAATCCCCCCTCCCAAATTCCCAGGCACTAAATGTGGCAGCCTTGAAAATTCTAAATAAAATATGGGTTCCAAGGCTGACAGTATGTTTTAATTTCTTGAGGGCAACTAATTTGGGGAAGGCTAATTTCAACTCTCAAGAGTATAATAAGATACAGTACACTTATGGACTTCTTACTAAAAAGTTCACCTGTTCAGATCCCTTGTCTGTTGCATTTTCATTTTCCAAGGGACATTGTCTTAAACCTCATTTTCAATGTCCCCCTTGCCTTGCAAGACAACATATTCAGTTTTTTTTTAATAAGAGACATTTTATGCCAGCAGGACCCTGTGATTTCCTGTGTTGATTTCATTCTTGGATTCCAATTTTAAAGAATTTGTGAACTGATACAGTACTAATACTGTATATCTTTAAGTGTGACAGGAAACTTTATAAAAATCAACCTGAGAGGGTAGAAACTTTATTTTTCTAATAGTTGAGATTAATTCAATGTTTTTTAACCTTGGCAACTCTAAGATGGGTGGGCTTCATATGCCAGAATTTACCAACCAGTCACACATTGGATTAAACAGTAGCGTGCTAACTTTGGTGCTTTTGCACATTTTATGTTCCAGGTGGGTTCTCAGCGTTTCAGTGTCAACATGCCTCACAAGTTTAGCATTCACAATTACAAAGTACCCACCTTCTGTGACCACTGTGGTTCATTGCTTTGGGGTCTTCTGAGACAAGGTTTACAATGCAAAGGTAAGATACTTTTTCTCTTTAAATGCAGGATTTTGTTATTAATGTTATAGCTTTAGTCCACTTCATGTCTATCTTCATGTACATTTAAAGTGAAACATCTATGGAAATTCTGAGTCATCCAGGTAAGGGGTCTCCAACCTTGGCAACTTTGAGGCTTGTGGACAGGGGTGGGTTTCTACTGGTTCTGTCCACCTCTGTAGAACCAGTAGCTCTGAAGAGCAGCAGACATAGAACCAGTTCTATGTCTGCTGATGTTTTTGCCCACCCGTCCTCCCAGGCTCTTACCTGATCTTTATTTCCTGATTTTTCAACTTCAGCTGCCGAACAAGGCACATCTGCAGTTTAAAAAGCAGGAAAAGAGGGCTGTTTCAAAGGCTGCGTCTCTGCACACAGCGTGCTGATGACGATTTACAGGCCCATGGCTCACAGCGTGCAGGGAAGCTCGTAAATCCCAACCGGTAGTTAACCCTGTCGTATCCCACCCCTGCTTGTGGACTTCAACTCCCAGAATTACTCAGCCAGTTTTGCTGGCTGGGGAATTCTGGGAGTTGAAGTCCACAAATGTTAAAGTTGCCAAGGTTGGAGACCCAGGTCCCAAAGTCCAGTTGCCTTTTGAAAAAGTACCTGTGGGACATAAAACTGAAACAAAATAGGTCCTAAATGATTTCCCTTTGGTTGGTACAACACTATTAACTAATTCAACTAATTAAGCTCTTACAAATAAATTATGTAAACTGCAACCTAAAACTTAAGAGCTAAATGTCCTTGCATTGCTCAAGTCAGTAGCCTTGAGCATGTTTTTAAAGTCAAACTATGTAGATCCAGTTGTTATAGATAAGTTATGTTACCTTGTGTAATTGCACAGTAGTGCGCTAATTTGCATATTACAGCTAAAACAGGGTTCTCAGAAAATTATGTAATACCCAGTTAATGGAATAATTTGATATATAGTTCTGGCTTTGAGTTCAGAGGAAGTTTTGCCCAGACTGAAATGTTTTTCAGATTTAACTTTCCATCTGTGTGGTTGATTAAGTCCCAATTGCTTTCCTATCCGTTTATTGCACGTGAGAATAAAATACTTCATTTTCATTGGGAATTTGTGTCTGTATGAGCAGTATAAATTATAAGCATAAGGCAGACAATCTGGCCAGATTCAGAAAATGACATGCAAAACTATAAACCTCCCTAAGTTAATGGCATTATTTGATAGTGATTAATATAGAAGGAAAGAATTGCAGTGTGGGACAATTAGGATCGCATAGTGAAAGCAAAGGGTACATCAGATGAGTTACTATATTCTCTAACATAATTCTTGAGTCTGAATACACAACCATATATTTGCTGTTTACATTTAATCTACTCTCTTGGTCTGTTCTTTTCAATAGTTACAACTGATGTAAAATGAGCATAATTCCTACTCTCACTTTGAACATTCTATCTGCAAGATCTCTCTCAAATTTTATTAGGAATAACACAGGAGAAACAGAGAGATAGAAATGTAAAAATGAATGCATATGGCAAACATAGTACTTAAACCTAAATATCCCAAATTTGATACTTTTCAATTTTTTTTGTCCTTCCATTAGAATATAAATCCATAGGCAAGAGCACCGAAGGTTACATTCCAAAGCATTCAAGCATAGTCTTACCACAGATCTTTGCACAAATTTAATATTTCTATAGATTCATGAACCAGTTTTGTTTTATTTTGGCATTAGTATGTATGTATACATCCCACCACACTGTCAGGCATGAAAATGTGAATTATATGCGTTCTTCTAAAATACACATTTTTGTATGGATTTTTGCTTGCCTTTGAAAATTAGAAAGTGAAAGCAATAAATAACTTTCCTTTGAAAACCTGTACCAAACATATCTGCCAGCATTAGATTTATGCGAGAGTAGAGAAATGCTGTAAACTTCAACTTTCCAATGTAAAATCACATTTGTAGTGGTCAGCATTCTCTATTTTGCCATCTCATTTTCATAATGGGTATTATATATCTTGCAGTTTATATTTTTCCACATGCGAGGAAAAAAGCTTAGTACTTACTATATTGCCTTTACTTATTTATTTCTAACTTCAAGCAGAACAGAAAGTATCTAAAATATTTCAAAGAGAAAGACCAGGGGAAATAAAGAGGTCCAGCCACTGCTGTCATTTTTTATGCTGGCCTTTTCAAATCTGGGTGGGAGACATTTCTACTTTTCCTCAGCAACTTGCATGTTTTAAGAAAATGCAATATTGGGCCATATTCAAAGTAAGCTTGGGTCTTTTTTTCTCAGTAAAGACCTAGATAAAAAACAGACCAATCACATCAGAATTTTGCTTTCTGAATAATTCAATGGGTATTCTAGAAGGATGCTGTTTCGGGAGCACAATGACCTTTTTCTTTGGGTAAAAGGGCAAATAGAAATCTCAGCTTCGTAATAAATATTATTTCATCGGGTAGCATCACTCCAGTCATAATGAGGACAAAACAGGAAAGGATAGGATTGTAAGGTGGACCTAAAGATATTCAAATTATGTTTTCCCACCAGATTCATCAATTTGGTACAGAAGAATTTTCTCCCACAAATTTCCTTACCTTTTTCTTTCATTTCTGCAAAATCTGCATGTTATTTTAATTTCCTCCACAAGAAAGCACTTGTACAAGTGTAATCCAGCACTGCCATGATGACAATAAATCTGCCTCCCCTCCAAAAAAGAGGTTGGATATTGAACAATATCTCCCCAGTTATTTGCTGCTTCTACTTGTACATTTGAATTCAATATATTTATATGAAGCATATATATTATTCCTTTTTTGTCTTAATTTGAGTCTGCATTTACAAGGATCAAGAGCTGACTGCAATTCCTTCTGCAAACAGGCAGGATGATGTGGAAAATTTTTGTGTTACTATGACCATGGTAACTGATATAACTAGCTATAACTAGAATAATTGCTGCCAGTTATCCCTATCTATTGAAGCTTGTTACACGCACGGCCCACCTGTCAAGTTATTTTCCACCAAGGGAGTAAAAGCTTTGTGGTTAGAAGGTAAAGAGAACAAGTGAATTGGGGTTCAGAAGTAGCTGTCGTTTAGAGATGGAGAGAAAATAAAATAACAGGAACTTGAAAAAAGGGACTTCAGTGAGATCTTGGAGGAGTGACAGAGATATGATGATCAAAGTGGTAAGATGAAATAAAATCATGCTGTGCTCCAAAGAGGATAAAATGAATGCCCAGACAAAGGGATGACTATATAGATAAGTGAAGGCTTCTGGGAATGAAGGTAGAGAATCAGGAATATGCACCAAAGTTACCAGAATTGGGTTTCAAAAAAAACCTGAACTAAAATGGCAACAAAAATACTGTTTCTGTTTAACACAACATTGTGAGCTCCTTGAGTTGTCAAAATGTCAAAGTGCTCATATTTATTTTAGTTATATATAATTCACTCTAAAATCTTACAAGGAAGCTTGCTTGTTTTTGCTTTCCTCTTTTCCTTGTTCATTGTATTTGTCTCGCACATTTCCTTCAGGAACTCAAGCAGGTTCAAGTACTTCCCTCCTCAAAAAGTCCTATGGGCTAAGTTGTACTGAAGAGTAATGAACGGTTCAGAGTCAGCCTAATGAATTTAATGACTGACATTGTGACTTGGGTCTTCATGATCTCTCTTATTTTTGTACCACAATGGATGTGTTGATTTTATTTTCCAGAAAGACTGCTATTGAATCTTTGTAGCAAACATTTGAAGGAGAGACAGGAATAAGTCCCTATTTATTTGACTGCTGTTGTACAGAAGATTACAGTTAGAATAGGGGCAGATTAAAGAACATTTTCTATCAGCATCCATGCTTAATTTCTGTTTCTTCCCCCACCCCGCACCCACCGCAATTTTCTGGTTTTCTAAGCAACCATAATGTCATGCAAAATCAAAACTTTCCCAAGTTTCTTTGCCATTTTTGGTGAATTTAGGAAACTTGTTTTGTAAGGAAGTAAATTACTGAGCTTATTTTCTTTATTTGGGGGTTTGCAAATGGCTCCAAAATTGTACTGATGAATTGGACTGGGATCCTACCCAAATTCAGCAGTAACCTGGAGTAATCTCTATGAGCCCACAAAGTGAGGAGGGTATTGTTCATCCCTGAGTTACTTTTCAGTTCGATCCTACAAGCCAGTTCTGTATAGAATAAAACTTATCTGAACTGTCACCAATCTGTTTAGTCTATTTTCACTTAAATCAGATTCTCACTACAGGGACTGTAAAAGGGATTTTGTGAATAATACAGATAAATAATAGATAGTGATTTATCAGGACAGCTTAATTGTATTTAACCTGGATTTTTCTTGCCCCCCCCCCTCTGTTTGGTTTAAATTACAGTTTGCAAGATGAATGTACATAGACGCTGTGAAACAAACGTAGCACCCAACTGTGGAGTAGATGCTAGAGGGATAGCTAAAGTACTGGCGGATCTTGGCGTTACTCCAGATAAAATCACTAATAGCGGACAAAGGAGGAAGAAGGTAACCAAGGAAACAGTTTAAAATATGAACTAATAACAGTTCTGCACTGTGAAGCATGGGAGACATCTTGTGTCCTATTTTAATTTGGATTTTAGAGCATAACTATATATTCTGGTTCCTTTAAGGATTGTCAATGTATTTGTCACTTCCTAAATAAAATAATCTGATGTTGGCCCTCACAAACCAATGGGCAGATTGCACTTCAGCTATCTATCAGATTTCACAACAACGAGTTGCTGAAAAGACTTCCTCCTCTTTCCAAATTCCCTCTTTAACAATTTCAATACGTTAAAATATGCATTTAGAATACATCTATGGAGAACAATCTGCAAATTAATGTAAAAACATGACAGTACAATCATTTTGTGTTGTCTGGATAAAATGAGCAAAATAGCAATGACCTGGAAATGTTTCACCCATCCCAAATATTTATTTCTGGTGCCACTGAAAATGTTGGCCTACTCCCTTCTTTTACAAAGTAGCAGCCAGTAACGTGGAGTGGTAGATCATGTTGTCATAAGTCAAGGCAAATGTTTAAAATAATCTTCCTTAACCTGGTGATATCTAAATTATAAGGCTATAATCTGTCTATAATGTATCTAGATGATAAAAAGATGGACAAGGGTAGTTTTGATCATTGCCGAGTTCCTGATTTGCAGATGATTTTTGCTACAGCAAAACCTGCATCACGTAACATGTACTGTAATTTTTTTCTGGCTTTAAATAATTATAACAGAAAGAAAGATTTTTTTCTTTCTAGAAAGAAAGTCTAGATTTAGACTGTTGCATTTTGAAAAAAATCTTATCTTTTTCTCACCACAGTAACTAAAGCTTGTTAGCTATGAATAAGAAAGCTTGACATTGAAGTCCATGAATTTGCATTTCTGCTCCAGCTTCCTTACACAAACACCATCAACCAGGGTATATAACTTGTTTCAATCTGAGGGCTACTTTGAGTGGCATATTGTAGATTAGAAAAAATACTTGTTATTTTAATTAAAGAAGATGAATTACTGTCTACGCATTTATTTTTTCTTTCTGTTAAATTACATGGTCCAGGTAAATACCCTGCTTTAGAATTACAATACCAGATTAACTCTTTGTTATCTTTGAAGAGACTGAAGGCTAATTGGGCTAAAGGATAAATTAAATGCTATGCTGAAAATACATGTGACATCAGACAAAATCCTTTATTTCTGATAAAAAAATCTTAAGGATAGGTGTTTGCAACGTAACAAGAATGGAAGCGTACGGTTCTCTTTTCTTGCTAGCTGAGAACAATTTTCCTTACAAGATTCCAGACCACAAAGAAGTAATCCAATAGAAATTAAATTATGTCTATCATAAATCAGATCATTAGGAATCTGACTTTTGGGTAAGAAGGGCTCTGCATACTGGAAGAAAAGAAAAATTTCCAGTCCCCCGATTTCTCCTGCCTTCTGTAATTAATTAAATTATAATCAAAACCTGAAACTGCATCATGCATATGGAACATATTAAGGGACAATTATTAGCAATTTGTCCCTTAGACTGATGTGACCTGAGTGAAGTCACAGATGGTTGCATTCTTTTTTCAATTGTTAGAAAGAACATTTCTTGTCAGGAAGCCACATAAACACCACAGCCACTGCTTTGATGTCCTTTTCTGGGAACACACATGAATGTAAATACTCTTAAATGTAAATACTCTTATCTAGTTGAAAAACTCTCTGCCCTCCATGCTATTACAATGATGTCAAATGGAAACACAGTGAAATAACATTCTTCTGAAACAATTCAGTAGATATTTGCAAAACTGACCCTTCCACACAAACACATATAAGTTGGAAAGTATACTGTGTACATATGGAGAATATAATAGTTATACCAAGATAGATAGATAGATAGATAGATAGATAGATAGATAGATAGATAGATGTCAAATGGAAACACAGTGAAATAACATTCTTCTGAAGCAATTCAGTAGATATTTGGTTTCACTGAGGGCTGCATCAGGGTTGCGTTTGACCTTGGGGGTGGGCGTGGCCAGGATGGGTTTCATAATGGTTAGAGGTTATCTTGCATTACTGTTGGGTACTTCAGGCTCAGCAATGATTTCTGATGAAATTGTATATATTTAAATCTTAACATGAAATTGTATCTTCCATGGCTTCATATGTCATGGATATTTTGTTAGAAAAGCATATTAAGCATGAAGATTTTATTAGAATCTTATTTCAGAAGATAAGACTTTTAAAGGGATTTAAAGGTTGAATAAAGGTTAAAGATGAACTCCAGATTTAAACTTTGATTAAAGGTAAAATGTATATTCATCTGCCTTTCTGTTTAATTACATGGCCCAGGTAAATATCCTGCTTTAGAATTACAATGCCAGGTTAACTCTTTGTTACTTTTTGCGGAAAAGCATTGTTATGTGATGTTACATCTTTAGTGTCTCATAAATGTCATGTCAGAAGAGCACATGACTGTGATTAAGTATCTCTTTTGTTGGATTACTCTTAGCTTGTTCCAGGTGCAGAATCTCAACCGCCAGTTCCTGGATCCTCACCAGGAGAAGATGACAGATCAAAGTCAGCACCGACTTCCCCATGTGATCAAGGTTCATCAACATTTATTTTCTCCTAATAAATAAATTGCATTTACCTTAACATTTTGATTAAACTATGTCATTTAAAAAATAGCTCCACCAGTTCTAATTTAACAGAACTTTCAACCTTTAAGCAATATCATAATTTGGATCAGTTAGCCTTCAGACATTCATTCATGCCCTTATCACTTCACAATGTGACTGTTGCAGTGCAGACTACATGGGGCTTTCTTGAAGACCACCCCTCTCCCCTGAAAGCTTCAATCGGTCCAGAACATTTCAAGCAGTGATTGCCTCGTCTCAGCACACTAATCTCTGCTTCTTGAGCTATACTGATTGCCATTGTGTTGCCGGGTATAATTCAAGGTCCTGGTTATCATCTGTGAAACCCTACCTGGAATAGCATCTGGCTATTTGCAGGACTATCTGTCTTCTGTGATCTCTTCCTGCCCAATATGGTCTGGCAGAATGGGCATATTTCAGATCCTCTCAATTAAGCGGTGTCATTTTTTTGGAAACCAGGAAACATATTTTTCTTGTAGCAATGCCTGGAATGACGTCCCCTTAATCATTGTATAGCTCCAATGCTGATGAGATTCCAAAAAGCCTTAAAATCTTGTCTGGACCCAACAGTGTAATTGTTTTTAAAACTTCCCAATAATTAAACCATCAATTATTGGGATGTAATAATTAATCATTTCAAACAAGGAAAAAATGATATTTGGTAGTGTCTTTTGTGTGCCCACAATGAGTGGGGTCAAAAGACAAATAGTTGTCACACAACTATTTCTTCTTTTTTAATGATGAGTTTAGAGTTTTTATTTGCATTTAAATGGCAGAAAATTACACTACCAGTTGTCAATAATAATAATAATAATAATAATAATAATAATAATAATAATAATAA